ATTAATACTTGTCCAAAGTGAGACAAATAATGTTTATGCAAGATTTACTGAATGGTCTATTCCCCTAGTCTTATTACGATCTATCGCTAGGAAAAACCAAACCAGAAGAGACCTGAATCTCAACCTCTTGTCATCTGTTCTTGCTGCCTTAAGCTCAGACATGATGCCATTGGCCTATGCTGAGAGGCATTCACATGAAACAATCAAACTGTTTCTTGACCTCCTCAACTCCATGGATATTTTTCATCTACATTACTTGAGGGACCCACTTCCCAGAGTCACATTCTGGATGTCATCAACAGAAACTATACCACTTCCAAAATCACAAATCTAACATCTGACCCTCTTTTCTGTCCATCTTTACTCAAGTAGTGAGTACTTTACGCAAGTAGTGAGCTTCTTTACTCAAGTAGTGAGCACACTGCCACATTCTTCATCTCATTAAGGGTACCTATCTATTGACGCCTTCCCCCTCCACCACTTCCCGTCTATCAAGGTTTTCTTGTCTTCATTTTCTTCCTTATCTACCTTAGGTATCACGGCCTAAATTTATTATCACTCATGTAATTTAAAAATCCAAGGATATGTCTTGCTTTAGCTATAGCTTGATGCTGGGGATCAGACGATGTCAAAAGAATGCAGTCTCTTTTCTGGGCTTAAAAGCTTTGTTTCCTCCAGGTTGGTTCCACACTCAGGCAGACTCTCTCATGATGGCAAGGAGGCTGCGCTCATTAACCTCAAAACCCCAAATCCAACTGAAAGAGAGATTCTCTTTTTTAATAGCTTTCACTAAAGCCCTGTGATTCACTAAGAATCACTAGGATGAGGCACACTTTACTCCTCCCTCTTCTGGCTTGCTAGAATGTGGATGTGATGGCTGGTGCTTATGCAGTGGTTTTGGAGGTGAAAGCCACAAGTAGAGCATGGCAGAGCAGCAATGTAGACAAAGTCTGGGTCCTTACCTTCATAAAGCTGCCTACTAGTCCCAGACAGCCCAACTTTATCCTTCTTTTACATGAAAGAGACATACATTTCCATCTTGTTTAAGCCATTGTTATTTTGTTATTTTTGTTTTTTCTGTCACTCATAGCCTAATCTAATACTGACCAATGCAAAGTGCACAGTGTTAAGATAGACCATGGCATTTCAGGAGCCACAAATCATATAATAATATAACAGCAAATAGAAAGTAGATGATGAAGGAAAATCCATTGGTGACCAAAGCACGTCTTTTATGCTATTCTAATAAATTTAAATTTTATTCTTTAAGCAATGTGTGTATGTATATAGAAGGGGGATTTAAAATAGTTTGAGCTATGCATAATATGATTAGATTATTTTATATATTAGAAAGATTCTTCAAGTGACATGATGGATCTTTTGAAGGTGGGCAAAACCAGAGGAAGCGAGCTTATAACAACTCTAGCAAGAGATGAGAAGTGTCAAAATCAGTGCATCAGTATTGGGGGAAGCAAAGAGGAGACAGATTTGAAAGAAATATACAAGGAAGATTTGACAGGAATTTGGTCAACCTGAATGACTTCTGAAGCAATAGAGGCAGACAGGCACTATTACAAGACTACGACCAACTGATATAAGAAGTCCAAAATGGACATTCCAGAGGGATAACATAAAAAATGCAGCTACTTGTGCTGTAGATTTTCTTTCACCACTCACGTATATAGCTCTCACGAAAGTCCTGAGATTCACATGCATGTTGTGTCTGAATGAATGCGTACAGTTCATTGGAGTGCACGCATGTTTAAATCATGACTACATGTTGGATAACATTTAGATCAGTCCTTCCTCTTTTAGCAAGCAAGATATCTTCAATCTACTGCCTCAGGTATGCAAATGAACTGTAACTTTATCTTTCTACAACTCAACTTGGTCTTTATTTTGAGCCTCCATTCCACCTAATAACCCAATGTAGTTATTTAGGATTTTTTTTTTTCCCAGCCATTGCAGGTTTAAACTCTGTCAATTTAGGATTTCTTTCTCTCTCCCTATATTTATTCAAGTCATTTAAACTCCTGGATGTTTACATGAGTTCATTGTATTGGAGATGGTAGTGGAATTGGACATTGGTTCAACTGAGAAATGGCAAAGCCTTCACTAACACAATGGCTGTAGAGTCTTATCTTTTAAGTGCAGAGGAGTATATAGAGGAAATTCTACCACTTAGATACCCCTCATTGCAAATATAACAAAATAAAAAATAATGCCCACATGAGACATATACAGAGGAAAGACTACCTGAAGAGACAAAGGAAAAACACCGTGTGAAGGTGGAGGACTGGAGTGATACATCTACAACCCAAGGAACACCAAAGATTGCCAGCAAACCACAGAAGCTAGGAGAGAGAGGCATGGGGCAGATTCTCCCTCACAGCCCTCGGAAGGAACCAACCCTGTCAACACTTTTATTTTGGACTTCCACCCTCCAGAACTGTGAGACAATAAATTTCTATCTTAAGCCACTCTGTTTATGATACTTTGTTACAGAAGCCCTAGAAACTAATGCAGAAGCTATCCAGCACTATAGCCTAAAGTGATAAGAGACTGAACAAAGACAGTGACAGTGGGGAGTTCGGAAATGGCATATAGCTGAAAGATATTGTTGAGATAAAAGTAACAAGATTTAATGATTGGCTGAATGTGCCAAAGGAGAGGCAGGAGTCCAAGACGGATGATGTTTTTACCCTATCTTAATCAAGTGAATGTAGTGTCTAAACTACCTTAGTGCCCTCATTAGATCTCTCCTGAGGCCAGGGACCATATAAAAAGTCCCATGCCTTTTCCTCTGCTTAATGGTATTTAACCAAGCTATGCTTCTGACTTCTCATTCAAACCTTTCTTTGAGCTAGATTCCCCAGTTTCCATTCTGTTGGCTTATAGCTATATTCTGCTCCCTCTATTCTGCTCCTCTCAGACTTCAGTTGACCTGCCTACTTTCCTTTCCATTTTAGTTCTGTCCTGCATGCTATACATGTAGATTATCCTTAGCTCTACATTCTGATGCGTTTAGACCAATTCCATCCCACCTCTATACCCAGCACAAACTCCCAGCTTCCAGATCTAGCACCACAAGCTCACACTTGTCTAGGGAGCTAGAATAGTAAAGCCATTAACCAACCTGTAAAATGTAGGAAGAGAAAACATGGCAAGAAAGCTATTGAGTTCACTTTTGGACATTATAGAGAATATATTTTTGACACAAATGGAAGCCATTGATCTCTAGAGGACTAGAAGAAAGAGGACTGTGGATAAGGATTGTGGTTGGGTCAGCCAATTAGCTTTCAGCAACAGAGTATAATCGACAAAACTACAGGGAGATCAAGAATGATAACTAAAGATAGATGATGGGGGAGATAATATTTAGAAGTCCTTGGTAACGTTATTGAAAGCAATTTCAAGGGTCTATTAGGCATGGAGAGGGCTGTTGAAGACTAACTGATGGGTGAGAAATGACAATAGATGGTTTTGGTCTTTTTTTAAAGATCGGCACCTGTGCTAACAACTGTTGCCAATCTTCTTTTCTTTTTTTCTCCCCAAATCCCCCCCAGTACATAGTTGTATATTTTAGTTGTGGGTCCTTCTAGTTGTGGCATGTGGGACACCCCCTCAGCATGGCCTGATGAGCGATGCCATGTCCGCGCCCAGGATCCCAACCGTGGAAACCCTGGGCCCCAAAAGCCTAGCGCGAACTTAACCACTCCACCACCGGGCAGGCCCTACATGGTTCTTTCTTGATGTTTGAAATGGAGAATAAGGGAGGAATCAAAAATCTAGAGAGGCAGAATAGAGAGAAGTTTTGCTTGGTTTTAGGATTGTGCACACCTGAGCATGTTAACAGGCTGAGGAGTAGAACCAATTGGAGAGGGGGAGATTTTAGGTATAAATGGTATGAAATAAAGATCAACTGTTGGGAAAAAAAGCTCCAAGAAGATGGGTGGCAGGGGATTAAAAACATCTTTAAAATGACACTCCTTCCACCAAAACAAGAAAGGAGGTAAGGATGAATAACAATAGTGTAACTTTGGATGCCGGCATGAAAAAAAGAATTGTTGAAAATTCTATTTTGTCAAAAATACACTTTAAAACTGTTTAAGTTTTAAAAGGTAAATCTCGAATTCACTATTATCCAGTTTGAAGAAAGGCATGAGAAAGTAGTAAGATCTCACCAGAATTCAGGTGTGCTTTGTTTATTTAGATTCCTGACCAGACACAAGCTAAGCAGAGACCACTTTAGGATTTTTCCGATTTATAGAACGGAGATGGAAAAGAATGGGAGCTTTTATGAGCATTTCAACGTTTCACTCGTTTCCTCCTCTCCTTCCCCAGGCTGGAGGGCCCCAGAGAGCGGGGAGATGAGTACCTGGCATTTTTCTCACTCTTCAGTGGTACTGAACAGCAGTGAGGAAGAGAAGGTTGTAGCAGGAGCAATGACCAAAGCCCTTACTGGAAACATCCAGAATCTGCTCTGCAAATTTATCTCCATCCTGCTCTCAATTCCTTCAGCTTAGAACGCCTCAAAGGTGGCGCTCAGCAAGGCTAGAGAGCAGAAATCTGCCAACTTGAATCTTCAAAAATGTAGAAGGTGACGGTGGTTCACAAAGCTGGTCAAATTGATGAAAGCAACAGCAAGACTCGCAACTCAGGTTATGGCCTCTACCACTTCCAAAATCAGAGCAGGAATCCGACGAGCCCGCCCTGACGCCTGTAAGAAAACGATTCTCACTTTTCATTGGCTGACCCTCTCAGAGGTGAGCCCTTGCTTCATTTTCATTGGTTGTTGCTGCCGTCACGTCCTTTCACCACACCCGCTTTCCCGTCCGCGCCCAGTGAGCTTTGGGAGAGAGTGATTTACGGAGGTCGGGGGCGGGAGTCCGTGCGCCGCCAGCCCGTTTCCCCCTCCCCCAAGCCGCGGCCCCCGCCCCGCCCCGCCCCCCGGCCTGAGGCCCCGCCCCCAGCCCGGCCGGGCCCCGCCTCTCCCTCCAGAGAGGGCGGGGACCAGGCGGCGGCCGCAGCCGCAGGAATATGCTGGAAGCCGAAGGGCGGGCACCCGGGAGGTGCTGAACGGACAGTTCCCGCCGCCTAACTTGCCCCGCGGCGCGAGGGCGGGTGGGGCAGCCCCCGAGCCGGCGGAGCACGTGAGCGATGGAGACCATCTGGATCTACCAGTTCCGTCTCATCGTGATCGGGGACTCCACCGTGGGCAAGTCATGCCTCCTGCACCGCTTCACCCAGGGCCGCTTTCCCGGGCTGCGCTCCCCCGCCTGCGACCCCACCGTCGGCGTGGACTTCTTCTCCCGCCTGCTGGAGATCGAGCCCGGCAAGAGGATCAAGCTGCAGCTCTGGGACACGGCAGGACAGGAGCGGTTCAGGTAGGGCCGCCAGCACCGAGACCTCGGGGACCCCAGGGACCGCGTCGCCCCCTCCGTCCGCCCGGGCGCCCCTTCCCCAAGCGCCAGCCGCCCCGGCCCTGGTCGGGAGAGGCTCCGGCCCTCCCCTCTCTAAAGTGCAAACACTCCATTCTCGCTTCCCCTTTGCCCCTCCTCTTCCAGGGACGACTTCCTCCTCCGCAATTTCTCACTTCTTTCTTTGGTGCCCATTTCCTGCGCCCCCTTTCCGTCTTTCCTTCCCGCCTGAGCCGGGGTCACCCTCGCCGGCCCCCTGTTCCCCAACTCCCTCCGCCCCTGCAGGTATTTTGGTCCCCAACTCTTCGGCTCCCCTCTGCCCTCTCCCTAAACTCAGCATCCCTCGCTGCGCACACCCTGACCTAGCCACCCTCCTCCAAACTCCCCTCTTCCTCCCCTAACCAAGCAGCTTCCCCCCTATGCGGTCCGGGAGAACTGCAAAGTAGGGTTCCCAGGGTCGTGATTGATCCCTTTAGCTTCACAGCAAGCAGTGCTCCAACCCACGTTACTGCATGAGCTCATTGGGCATGGTTCAGAGGGAGATGGATGCGGTAATGGTTTGAACACCTCACAGCACCGAATGTGGTCATCAGAAATACTGGGCCAGGACCCGTGGGACTGTGTCTTGTACAGCAACAAGATGTGACATCAGGGTCACCGGCACAGCTGAGAGGGTTTTGTTGTTTTGTTTTCTAATGGTTGTGTTGTCTTTAGAAGTTTGTCATTGGTGCTTTGGTGGGGAAAAGAGAGAGAGACTGAGGTTTGGCAGGAACTTTTCCTTTATTTTATAATGGGTAATTAATGTTCCACGGTGATGATGGATCAGAAAATACGTTTCTAAATAGAGAAGAAGGGATCCAAATGAATAGTCTCATTCTACATGTCTAAATTTCATTGAGACCCTGAAGGAAGGATTTCACAAAGGCGACTCCTGTTACGTAAATAAAAACTAAATGGAAATTGTATGCATTTCCTGGATATTTAAGATTGAACCAAATATAAAGCACATTTCAAATTTCTAGACACTTTCTTTTAGAGGAAGGTAGGAAATCTGATATATTGTGGTGTTTGGGGTTTTTCTGAGATTGTGCTATCATTTGGAATTCATTTGAGCAAGCATTTTGCAATCTTCAGCAAGTACTCTGCTTGTGAAATACGGTACTCCATGAGGGGACTTCCCAAACATGGCTTCCCCTCACCCCAGCCAGCGTCCATTCTGAATGAGATCAGCCTACTTCTGGGAGAATGTTCCAACGTTTAAAGTTTTGGCTTCCATTCCCAGCTATGACGCTGATTCATAATAATGAGCGAACTGCTTAGCTTGCTTTTACCTTAGTTTTCCTGTGTATGAAGTGGGAAGATGGTGAGGCCAGCCCTTCAGAGAGGTATTGAAGGTTATCTGTTTGAATTGGACAATACCTAGAATACGGAAGAATTTTTTTTCAAGAAGCCTCCTTTAATTAAAATAACTTTTCAAATTCCTGATTCCTCATCTATAAAATGAAAGAATCATTATCATCTCCAAGATTCCTTGCGGTTTTACCATTCTAAGGTTGATTGCAAATTCCTTCACTTGTGATTTCCATCAGAGATGAACTTTCAGACATTTCATGGTCAGAAAAAGAAGTTTACTAATAGCTCTTGCTCTACCTTCTGAAGTGAATATAAGAAAAACGTGTTCTTTACAGTGCCTTAAACTTCTAGCAACTACTGTGAATTGCAACTACAAGAAACATAGGTAGTGAAATCTTATTGGATCTGGTAATTCTTTCTTTAAAAGTAGGTCCTAAACTGATTGACAAGAAAGTAGAGGATAATTAATTTTTTAGATTCTAAAGACCTCTCTGCTAAATAGATCATTGTTTTTTAATGCCTTAAGAAGAATGTAAATAGTAATTCATTTTATATACATTATTAAAACCAGACAGTAACTCTCCCATAATAATGCAAGGACATTTAGGGAATGTTTACTGACAATGAGTCATACTTTATTTTTTTTTGGCTCTTTACCAAAGACGTATTCATAAATACATATTTCAGTAGCTACCTCCAAATGCGTACTTGCTTTTCTCTCGTTTAGCAGAATATTTCTCCATAAAATTGCATTTAAAATAATTTCTGTTAAATCATTCTGTATCTTTCTCCAGGAAAATACAGATACTTATTTTGAATAACAGATATCCTTGCACGTTTGTTTCATAGAAAGGTAGTATAGTTAATGAAGATATGTTCCTGTCATTAGTTATAATCATACCATTAGGAATTTGTGGGAAATATTACATCTGAAGGCTTATTGGTGATTATATATAAACTAACAGAAAGGAGCCGACTTTAGACGGCCCGAGTTGTAGTTTGAAAGCATAAACAAATATGTTACAGAATAACAAAATAGCAAACTGATAATTATGACCATATTGAACCTTAGTTTTCCTTTTTTCCCCCCAGCTTTATTGAGTTATAATTGACAAAGATTTAGTTTTCGATGTTTAGATTAACATATGCTAGTAGATAATACTTGCAGAAAATAAAAAGGAACAAAATCAAAGTAAAGAAGGTTTAGAAAAATAATGTGTATGTGAGCATATTGTAAATTGTAATGTAACACTGAAATGTTAAGTTTTTATTATTAACACTATGTTTTAATGAAGTTAAATGTTAAATTACTGTATTAAGGAGGCTCAGAATTACAGGGCCTTCATTAAAGGTAGAAGTTTATTTCTCTCTTGTGTAACAGTCTCAAGGTAAGTGGTCCAAGTGGTTGGAATGTCTCTGCTCCAGAACATCATTCAGGTGTCTTCCCTCTTATGTTCTGCCTTCCCTAGGACATTTTCATCATCTTTGTGGACAAAGCTAGGTTGCAGACACACTGTGTGCCAGCTCAAGGGAAGGAGAGAGAAAAATCTAAATCAAGCAATGTTGCTTTTAAGCAAGTAAGGCCAATGTGGTACAGATCACTTCAGCTCTCAATTCATTGAGGAGAAATTAATTACAGGGCCAAACTTAGACAGGGCCACCATGTGCCCAGGAAGAAGGGAAAATGGACTGGGCATTCTGGGCATTCAGGGGAAACTAACAGTCACCCCTTTTAATTTTTTTTTTTTCCAGGAAGATTAGCACTGAGCTAACTACTGCCAGTCCTCCTCTTTTTGCTGAGGAAGAGTGGCCCTGAGCTAACATCCATGCCCATCTTCCTCTACTTTATATGTGGGATGCCTACCACAGCATGGCTTTTGCCAAGCAGTGCCATGTCCGTACCCAGGATCTGAACCGGCGAACCCCGGGCCACCAAGAAGGGGAATGTGCGAACCTAACCGCAGCACCACTGGCCAGCCCTAACTTTTAATCATCGTAGTGGAAGAAGTTTAGCAGGAAAGGAAACAAGAATATTGTTTAACACGGTGTTAATAAGGATAACTGTTGGAAGGGCTAGAAGTATGGAGAGCATCAAATATAAGAATATAAATTTTGAACTTTTCCCATAAAAAGCATTTAAAGAAATATGAAGGTAAACTAAGATAAAGAAATAGCAGTGTTGGCTGAAGGGATAGGAAACCTTGAGGCTTCGAGGCAGATTCGGCTTTTTATTTCATGTGGTCTGGCCTTTGGGGTGTTACAGTTACAGCCACTGGTTATAAAGCTCAGAGAGTAACGTCCTCCTGGTGCAGCACTTCTCAAAGCGTCTTCTGCAGAGCACTTTGCCCTGGTGATTCTTATTAAAGGATGGGTTCTGCGATCAAATAAGCTTCTAAATCCCCATATTCCATGTTGTACTCTCTTAGGAATTCATATCAAAGCCTCTAAGAAGTACTACAGCAAAGAAATCTATCTGACTTTGATTAAACTAGCATTTCCCAAAGTTATTTGAGGGGCTATTTTTAAAATATGAAAATCTCTGATAACTAGTGTTCTGAGGAGTATATTTTGGGGAAAGCTCCCTTAATAAGTTGCTTTAGTCACAATCTTTGAGCAGAACCACTCGACTGTGGAGGTGTGGAGCAATGCAAGACCTGCAGAGTTTAGTTGACTAGCTAATTAACCTAGCAAAGGGCTGTAAGGGCTATGTGCTACATAAGGGACAGCCCTCTCCTGCCTGCCTCTTCCTCTTTTCCTCCAGCTCCTCTTCTGCTGTGTATCTTTCTCTTCCCCATGTGTCTTATCCTTCCTTCAGCTTATTTTTATTTTTCCTTTACCCCTTTCATCTGTTTGTCCCTACTCATAGTTTCCTCCCACCCTCCATCTTTTTCTCTCCTTTTTTATTTGAATGTCTCTCTTATTCTCATTTCTTTTTCTCTCTATTTACTCCTCTGGCTCTCTTATGTCTCTGTTTTCTCCTCTGCTCCTTCAAAACATTTGTATAAAGTTAATGTTTAAAGGTGGTTTAATTTGTATTGCCTGTTCTTAATTTTAAAAGCAAGCACATGAACATTTTATATTTCTCCTTAGGAGATCTTTTAAGATCCCTAAACTAAACAAAATTTTTTTAAGGGTGCTTATTTGATTCCCCACCCTCCTTACTGTTGTTCATAGTCTTCAATAGAAAAAGATTTTTTGACCATGGATTGGTGGTTTCATAATTGCATAGGTAGCAGAGCACAGATCGTCCACAGTTCAGGTCCATAATCAGTGCAGTCAACTGTAATTCCAAGTTATTGGAAGCAATAGGAAGTAGGCTCTATTTTTATTGAGTAATCAGTATAATATCGTCATTAAAATTATTTGTGTTGTAAGTAACAGAAATATAGCCAAATTAGTTTAGATAATAGAGGACAAATGATAAATGATACACATCTCTTGAAAGACGAAAGCTCACTGAACATACCGGTGTCTGGAAGTATGGAAATTCCAATAACAAGGGTTTGTGGATTTTCCCTCTAATGTGTTACCATTCTCCAACTCTGTTGGCTCCCAACTCTCTCAGTCTCTGAGCTTCTTATTCAAATTCTTGAGAGAAAAAAATCTCATTGGCC